TATACTAATTTTTAAAGTATCAAATTGAATTTTTGTTCAATACAAATCTTTCAATGTTACTGTAGCTTTCTTTTCCCCAAAACTTTGTCTTCAAAATAAGGGTGAATCTTATATTTCGAAAAATACAGTAAATCATTTACAGAAGCTAACCTTCCTGACATTGTCTCAGACCACTCATCATTTCTAGACTGGCAAATCTCAAGCACAGTGTCCTGGAAGTCATTCGTTCTCATAGGAAATACATCAAATCATTTCCGTTTTCCATCACACTTGACAGGTTGGCCACAAAACAAGCAGTGGTCTTGAAAATTGAATGTCTTGCACTGAATGGAGATCTGTGCATTTTTCCATCATTTGCTAAGGTGATGCTAGATCACATGCAATGTTTTGTGGTTTGCAATAACTACATTGACATTTCACGTGTACTCTTTGTCCTGGAACTTTTCTCAAGTCAGTGCCATGTTGCAGACTTACACGTTTTACACCATCACTGCCCTTTACGTATAGAACAACGACTGTGGATTCATTGCACATGCATCCCTTCTGCACACTACTATTATTGCTGAATCTTTACACCATTAATCTGAAACAGAAAATACAGATTGAAAATTACAATTTACTAGGATATATGTTTGGTTTATAACGTTTCTACACTATTTTTAGAACAATCATTCAGTATGAAGTATTGTATAGCCACAAAATAATATAAGAATTATCTTCTGAAAAAAATGTTGGTCATTTTCAAATTATAGTATTGTGTCATTTGAGAATAAAAATTTAAAAACATATCAATATTTGGCAGCCTTATTGGATTTATGCAAATTACCTTGTTATCCATGAATAGTGTTACATGCTCCTATACACCTTAATCTTCAGAAATGCCATTTAAGTACCCATAGTTAAAGAAAACTGTAATATGGAAGCAATTTAGTTGTAACAGATTAGTATTTAGTGACCATAATGGAATTGTGCTAATTCAGTTGGTTTCCATGTTATTCTCCATATCCAGAAACCCCATTTTAGAATCTTAAGTAGTGAAAATGTCACCTAGAAGCAAAGATATTACAATATATAGATATTTGATGGTGTATTGGTTTTATGTAAGTTAAGCATATCTCCCATGCTGGTAGCCCTCAGGACTTTTTAGTATGTTATTCAGAAGACCTCAAAGAAATGCACTGTGGTGAAATAAATTCTGTTGCAATTTGTGCCCTTTTGAGTGAACATTTGGAATAGATTGCCTAGCCTAACAAATCCATTTAGGCACCAGTAAATTAAAACCAAACCCACATGGTAATATCTGCAGAATCAATAATAAAAAGAAAAACACTGTGGTGAAATAAATTCTGTTGCAATTTGTGCCCTTTTGAGTGAACATTTAGTATAGATTGCCTAGCCTAACAAATCCATTTAGGCACCAGTAAATTAAAACCAAACCTACATGGTAATATCTGCAGAATCAATAATAAAAAAGAAACTACTAACGTCTGGCTTCTCTCAACCTGGCAGTTAAGTATTTATATACTACATTTCAGCTTATATCAGTGTGGGAAAGAAAAAAATTGAGTGTAATAACGTCCTTTTTTTAGGTCCGTGGAATGCCTTTCTTGTAGAATGTTCATTAAGAAGTTCAGTGTTTTATTTCTGCCAATGCCTCACATTATTTTCAGTTACACCAAATTTTCTAACAGCGGTACAATTGTTCGTTTTTTTCTGCCTCACACACCACCATAATATTAAGATTTGCATCGTAACTCCATTGTAATCCTTTGTTAATTTGACACTTTCTTGTTCCCTGTCTTTCAATGTGGTCACTCATTCTTGCACAAGGGTCGATCACTACATTGAGACTCACAGACAACATTATTATAGAATTTAAAATGAGCACAGTCAAAGCAATAATGCATCAGCAAAACCAGTACTATAACTGAGCAGCCTGCAGGAGGATTAGTTGCAAGAATTAGTGATGACGTTGAGTGAACATCTGATGAGCATGTATAGACAGATGCTACCTAGAAGGGGCCTGTGGTCAGCTGTGATTATAAGGCGACTATGAATTTTACAGTCTTAATTATTAATCAAAATACATTGCCTTATAATCAGGACAATACGGTAATCATAACACAATATTTACAAAAGAGGTAGTAAAACTTGTACAACATCATGGTATTTATAGTTATAGAACAGAGTTTGTTTTTAGTCTACTGACTCTGGATGTAACATCATAATATTTTGTAATGAAATCATATGGTGTTTGTAATTATAAATGAGAGTTTGTTCTTAGTCAAATTTCATTGGGTAAAACATCAAATATATTGTTTGTAATGATAAGGAAGAGTGTCTGACCTCAGTCTTCCAACACTGATTATAACTCCGTGATGTTTTCTAGCTAAAGAGCATAATGATGCTAGTTAAAATTTTATGACATTGTAGAGAACAGTGTTTGCTTCAAGCCACTGACTCTAGGTACCATGTCATAATTCTTTATAGCTGTAGGACAGTTTGCATTTGGTCTTCTATAACTTATTGTAATGTTTTTTAGTGACAGAGAATAGTCTTTGATGTCAGTTCACTGACACTAGTTGTAACTTTATGGTGATCTCAGTGCCCTGAAATATAAAATTATGATGAATTAAATTTAGAAATAATAATGTTTGGTGACATTATTTTATTATTGTGATAACACAAAATGAGAGATTAATATAACAACTATTGAAAGTTCATATACAGCTAGTTTTTACCATCATAAAACAAAGTTGTTCATGATTTCTTAATTCAGTGTGTAAAGCTATCTGATTGCATAAAACCAATATATTCTAGTGGTAACTACACAGCAAGCTAAGACCCTGATTGATGCAGGAGTAGATGGATTGAGAGTTGGAATGGGTTCTGGATCAATCTGTATAACTCAAGAAGGTAATCAGTTTTTTAAATATATGTATAAAAGCCTATATTTCACTGTTTTGTTGCAGAGAAATGTGTGGTAAATAAACATTTCTCCAGGTAATTGTACTTAAAGTGTGTAGTACAATTTCAGTTGTTTATTGGTACAGGCAAGCCTGTAGCCAAGGGGAGGATGTGAACAAACCCTGCCAGAATTCCACTCACCTATTAACATTTATTTTTCATTTCTTTGATAATGGCTTCTATAGATGCTTTTGTAACACTGTGCATTTTCATACTTATCAGAGAAAATTTACTAGAAGTGTTTATTTGCAGTGATAATTAAGAAGCCATTACATACTTTGGATTTTTTTTTCTTCTCTGGGAACTAAAGTTAGACATGAAATGAGTTCCACTTTGGACCAAAAAGCCCCCCCCCCACACACTTCCAGACCTGGCTACAGGCTTAGTACAGATGAAATTTGTTGTAGGCTTTTCACCTGCTTATTGTACAGGTGATTTCTGTGGTAAATCTTTCACCTGATGATAGTTCTATGGAAGATAATTGTAGTAAACCTTTCAGCTGATTAATTCTAGGGATGATATTTGTAGTAAACTTTTCAGTTGATTAGCTGTACAGGTAAAAAAAATATTTAGTGATTTTTCAGCTTATTATTTCTAATAATTGTAGTAAACTTTTCAGCTGATTAGTCATACAGGTAAAATATTAAGTAAAGTTTCTGATGATTAGTCATTATACAAGTGAAATATGAAACATGTGGTAAAGTTTTCAGATCATTCATCATACAGGTGAAATATGCAATAAAGTTTAAGCTGGTTATTTGTACAGGTGAAATGTACAGTAACTTTTTCAGGTGATTAGTTGCACAAGTGAAATGCGTAGTAAAATTTTAAGCTTATTAGCCACACAGGTTAAATGTATAGTAAATGTTTCATCTGATTACACTTACGAGTACTTTGAATGGTAAAGTTTTCAGCTGATTAATTAATAAAAGAGGTGAAATACATTGTAAATTGTTTACTCCTTATTATTTTCACAGATGTATGATAAATTATTTGATGTTCTGAATATAGAATCATTGTCCCATGAATTTAGGTTTTGTGAAAAAACAAAAAAATTAGAAAATCAATGTGAAATTCATGGCTGTTAGATTTGATAGGGCTGGATTCTTTACAGTAGATGTCTGTAACTTGTTGGCAATAAATTTAAACAATGAGTGGACAGCACACAATTCACTTGTTTTAAAATGATATATTCAAAACAAGTCAAACGTATGTACAAATATTTGTTATACTATTGGTTATCACAGTTGTATCCAGAGCTTTGACAAGACAAATTATTCTCCTCTACTCTGTTATTACAATACAAGGCTGTGATACTCATTTTAAAATCACCACTATAAATGTTGGTTACCACAGTTGTATCCAGAGCTTTAAATAATTGTCTCCTTTTAATCAAAGTCCACACACATGGGTTCAATTACTTTAGAACACCCTTTGATAAGACAAATTGTTCTTCTCTATTTCTGTTATTACAATACAATCTGTGATACTTTCACTTTAGAAATTGCCATTATATGCTCTTTGTGGCTAAACTCACAATCACGCAGTCTAACTTCACTTTCACTAGCTTTCTTCACTTGCACTAACTTGGTCGCCTATATATGTTCTTCACCTCACTGTTTCTCCACAGTATTGCTTTGCTCATATAGGAACCTCAATGAGACAACACACACACACACACACAACAACTTCCACAACTGACTGAGGCCAGTGGAGTTAGGGCTGTTCAACTTCATTTACAACCAGTAATTAAATTAAGAAAGTAACCTTTTTACTTTTAAGCTATCATTGATCAAATGGTATGATTATATGATAAGGCTGTCAATACTGACAGTTGGCATTTTTTCTCTGGGGGATAATATGGGGGATAATATCAAAGAAAGAAGAGTAAGAGGCAGCAAGGAACTAACTCAGCTCAATGATGTAGAAAATGGATTGGAAATGAGAAACTATAATTAGAAAAGTAATTTCAGGCAACAAGGAATATAGAAAATTATAGATCTACATAATTGAGGAGGATATCAAAATTGATTGCATTAATTTTCACACATGTGCATTTATAGACCTATTATTCTTACATAAGTTGTGGGAAGAGTTTTGGAACGTCTGATAAAAGATGCTTAATAAAGTCATTTAACAAAGATTAAAATTTTATTGGATAGTCAATATGTTTTCACTAATGGAAAATCTTGCCTTACAAATCTTTTGACATTCTTTGAAAATATTACAATGTATATGTAGATGAGGGTAAAAGTGTATATTTGGTTTATCTGCATTTTCAGAAAGCATTTGACAAGGTGCCACATAAAAGGCTTGTAAAAATCTTATTTTTATAGATGAGGGGGATAAGTTAGCTAATTAGGTAGAAAAATGCTGGATGGAAGAAAGCAGAGGGTTTTAATAAATGGAGTTCAGTCAAACTGGATTAATGTTACAAGTGGG